GGGCTGCAGCTGCTGACCACGCCGAGGTCTGCGGCCCGGGAGCGTTGGAAGTGGCGGAACATCTGCGTCTCCCTGGTGCACAGCCTGCTCGCGGGCGCCGGGGCGCTGCTCGGGTGCGGGGGTGCGGGGCTTAGGGGTTCGGGAGGCACCTGGGTGAGGGCGACGGATGGAAAGCTAACATTACAAGGCCTGGCGGCACCTTTAAAACTGATGCTAATCCTTGAGGGTCTGAGACTGGGACTGGGTGGGCGGGAGTGCCCAGCAGGGGATTGGAACCCGGGTCAGCACGAAGCTGACCGTGGCTCCCCCATCTCCTCCAGGCTGTTGCTCTACCCTCAGACGGCCGCGGACCCCATTCATGGCCACCCGCCCTGGGCCTTGGTGCTGGTGGCTGTATCTGTGGGTAAGTCTGCAGGGAAGGCTGGGCCAGTTTGGGAGTGGGGAGCAAGCTTCCAATGGTAATTCCAGGTCCTCTTCTGTCAGCTTTACTGAGGGAAACTAAAAAAACTGGAAAAAGTAGGGGCTGGAGATTCCTCTCCAGGCTGTACACTGGCTTAGGGGAAGCCCAATGCTCCCCCCACCACCATCCTTCCCCACAGGTTATTTCCTGGCTGATGGAGCTGACATGCTGTGGAGCCAAACCTTGGGCCAGGCCTGGGAGCTTCTCTGTCACCATTTGGTGGTGAGATTCAGGAGGAGGGAAGACAGGAAGGGGGGTGGTGCCCAGACAGAGGGCCCCAATCTCTCATCAGCTTTACACCTTATGACTTCCCAGAGAGTCTCTGACACCCTCTCTCCCCTGGGTTTGAGCTTCTCAACCTTGGGCTGAATTGAGGGAGGGGACTGATTGCTCCACCACAGCGGGGAGCCTGGGCACTGCCTCAGGAGCTTGGATTCCCACGGGTGTCCTGTCAATTGCAGAAATGTTGACTATGGAGCTTTTCTGAGAAGGGGGAGCCCCAGTATTGGGAGTGGGGGTGGGGCATGAAGTACCGGGGGGTACTGTGCAGATGCTGCAGGGAAGACAGCCGCTGGACCAAGGCTGCTTCCATCCTAGGGAAAGATTGTTTCAAAGCCATCCAGGCTCCTGACATAGAGTAAGCATAAAGTTGGGTGTATTTTGAGAGAGAGTGACAGAAAATGCTTGGGAGCCCCTTTCTGGAGGACGGGGATATGGAGACACGACGGGTGGTAGGTCATGGAAGGTCCTCTAACCTTTGACCCTGGCTCCCCAGGTAGTGAGCCGCCTCAGCACCGCCATTCTGTCCAGCCACTATGTGGGCTTCTCCGTGGTGTCTCTGCTCCTAGAGCTGAACTCTGCCTGCCTGCACCTAAGAAGCTGCTGCTGCTTTCTCGCCAGGCCCCATCCTTGGCCTTTAGTGTGGCCAGCTGGGCCACCCTGGCCACCCTGGCCCTCTTCCGCCTGGTACCACTGGGGTGGATGAGTCTGTGGTTGATCCAGCAGCACCATCAGGTGCCTCCTGCTCTGGTTGTCCTTGGTGGCACCGGGCTGGCCACTGTGGGAGCCACGAGCATCACACTGGGTGTTCGCATTTTGGTCAGTGATGTCCTGCGGTCTCAGCCTCATTCACCCATCCCTGGGCACAAGGAAACCAAGGGCACTAGGACATGTGATGGTGAGCCTGTCACCAGGGATGATTCCCCTCTCAGCCTGAAAGACTAGAGAGGCCTTAGGTTCCTCTTCTGTCGGTCTTGGGGGAGGTAGGACCAGGACAAGGAGACAGTGGTCTTCAATGCCCATCCCCTCATTGGGTTAAGGACTGGACTGGATTTTCAGTATCTCAGTCCCTCTTCCAGCTAATTCATACCCCTCCCCCATTCTTAGGATCTGAGAAGAAATGCTAATGTTCGTGGGTGGGTGGGAATTTGGGCTATTATTCACTGAATTTCATCATCAGATAACCATCCTTTCCAGGAAACTAATTCAAGAGGTACAGCCAGTGCCAAAGAGTGGCAGGATGCATGAAACCGCCAATGGGAACAGAAACCCTTTGCTTTAGCACAGGGACATATGAGGAAAGGTGAAGTCTTACTAGGATCAGAGAGATCTGGTATGGAGGTGGTAAGGCCAGCGGGAAGAGAAACCTCACCTATGACCAAATTCTGGCAGTGGGAGGGGAACACAACAGGTGCTGCCTGTAGCCAGCAGTTGTGTAGACATAGCAGCTGCCAAGAGGCCAAAGAACCTGGGCCATAGGGATTGCTGCTGATATTTCTGATTCTCAAAACCCCACTCTTCTGTTTGTACTTAACCTTAACCCTACTGTGTCTAGCATCTGCCTCTTCATTATTATTATTAGTAGTAGTATTTCTTGACCTTTTCAAATATCTCTTGACCTTTTCAAAGAAAATGCATACTTTAGAGGGATGAACATGGAGTTGGGTCTCTCAGGACAGTGCTGAAGTCCAGAATCATAGTAGGGACTCAAACAGCCACTCTGGGGGCACAGTGTAGGGTCTTCGTAGGCCTAGGGTTTCATGGAAGGAATGAGGCAGAGGCAGAAGAAGCTGATGAAAGGCTTCTTTTTGGCTGCAGAGGGATTAAGGAATGTCTGCCTCTTCTGGAAGTCATTCCCGAGCTCTCCTTTCTCCCCCACCACTTCTGCTGCATTTTTTTCTTTTTTATTTATTTATTGATTTTTGAGAGAGAGAGAGAAACATTGACTTGTTGTTCCACTTATTTATGCATTCGTTGGTTGATTGTTGTATGTGCCCTGACCGAGGATCAAACCCACAGCCTTGGCGCATCAGGACGACACTTTAACCAACGGAGCTACCGGCCAGGACTGCATTCTTTTTTTCGCTGTTGCACAAAACCCCTCCCTTCTTCGGGCAGAACATCCAGGTTATGGGAAGTGTAGAGCAGATTAAGGTTGCTATTCTACTAAACAATGGACAAAACGAGATAACCCTTAATCACCCACAGAAAAGATACATGAGCAAAAGCAAGAGACAGCAAGATTTTTTTAAAATCCTGCCCAAAAAGCTGAGCTAGAGAAAGACAAAGGGGATGTTAGAGACAGACAGACATAGATTGAGAGACAGAGAAAAAGACAGAGGGTTAGCTGCGTAGAAGAGACAGAGGCCAAGGGAGTGGAGTGCAAGACAGAGGATCCTTGGCACAAATATCGAGAAAGACTGTTGTAGAAGCTTGAGATAAACCCAAACTGTAGAATTGGTAAAATGGTCATAAACAAAGAGAAT